GAATATCCTGCCATGGCACGGGTTTTGTCGAGATTTTGATCCCGAGTCCGTTGGCCATCATTTGCGCATCCTGCTCCCGAATGGCCACGTGTTCCCCTCCGGGGTTCCTCCATCGTGAATATCCTGCCATCGCACCGGTTTTGTCACGATTTTGATCCAGAGTCCGTTGGATCCAGTTTCGAGGCGCTCAGGGGGTTCCAAAGAATTGGCCTCCGCCCCTAAGCGTAGCAATCGTATCTCTTTTGCAGGTGGCAAAAGAGATCGGGGGAGGCTCGTAATGTCGCAAAAGTGCCTCTTGTCGTTGTATCGCGCAAGGAGAGGGGAGATACCTTCGTACAGGGTTCGAGGGGGTTCCAAAGAATCGACCATTCGTGAGATCTGTACGGGAGGTTCTCCCAGAATCATTGCCTGCGTTCTCTGTAAGTTCCGACCAGTCAGGCTCAAAGGTTTCGCGCTGGCTCTTTGCGCAGAGTAACACATGCGTTGTCGCACCAGTTCCAGAATTACCGCATCGTCCTCATCACTGCTGTCCGCGTCTTTCGATGATTGCTCATCGTCCGCGTAGTTTTCCCAGGTGATCACACGGAGAGTTCCCGCCATTACCTGAGAAACTTGCGAGGCTATATTAACAGTAGTACGAAGGGTCAGTCTCATAGGTATGGCGTAGGGTTTTCCTCCCGTATTTCGCAGGATAATCGATCGTCTTTCGAAGTCCAAGTTGGCTCGCCGAGCCATAAGGGCAGGTAAACCCAAAAGAACATCATAAGTGCTGACGTCTAATACTACGACATCTCCCATAGCATGCACCTTACCCAATCGAAAAGCGACATTGGTCATCCATCCCACTGTTTTGATCTTTTCCTCATCTACTGAGACGAGTTGAGATCCTTTTTCGTAAGCATAATCAGATCTTTCTTTCTTCCTGCCCTTTCAACCACCCGTAACGAGATAGCTAAAACAGCTGCTCTTGAATCGATAATGGCATTGTACGAGACTCCCCATACTTCGATGTCACATTCTGCGGATTTCCACGGAATCGCTTTAATCCGTAGGAAGTGATCATCTTTCTGGATTATTCCTAAACGTATTGGATCCGAAGTACCAGCAGCGGGTTCATCCGGTATTGAAATTTTTTCTTTCGTGTTTGCCGTACGGGCAAGGACGAACCGCTTCCGGTTTGCCTTACAGTGTTGTAACATGCGTTCGTTGGCCTGTTCTGATATCGATAATAGATGACCAATCGAAAGAGGAATCCGATGATCTAGTGCCCGTACAATGTTCAAAACGTCGATTTCCCCGGTGACGAAGGTGGGTCCTCCCGACTCCATCTCTCCGGGAGAAGGTCTCCACTCGACCACTTCCCTCTGTTCGGGTGCGGGTCTGATCGTTCCAATCATGCCCAATCCTGGGTAACCAAGCGTGACGTACTGATCCAACGGAATAAGTTCAGCGGCTTCTTCCGTTGTAGCCAACGTGCATCCGCCTCCTTCCATCTCTTCCATTAGCGCCCCAACTCGCTCCGGCCCGTTAGCAATCGGGGCTGCTGCTACCGGTGCGGCCCCGACCCGTGGTTGCGGGGGTCGATGGAGGCAATCTCGAGCTATGTGCCCTGGTTGATGACACGTGTAACAAACGTTCAGGTTACCAGCGGCTCCTCCGAGCGCGGGTGCCGGAGCCAGCCCGTGTTGAATCGGGGCGGCCTGTACTGCTATCGGTCGCATCGACCTCATCATCGCCTCTATTCGAGCATTGTGTTCCCGCTGTTCCTTTTTGCTTTCCTGGACCAGATTGACCAGTGTTTTGGTTAGTTCTAATAGGGCGGTTGATTCATTCGGTCGTGCAGGACTTTCGATCGGAGGTGGGGGTGTCGTCATTATGGGAACTGGCATGCCCGTAATCACACCCGGGGCTGGTCGTTTGGGGCTAATCTGTTCCAAATAGGTAACAGGGCCAGACAAAAATCCCATGTTTTCGAACTTATTTTGTAGCGCGGCCAGCTCGGCTTTAGCTCTCGCCAGTTCGGACGAGTCTCCTTCCCTAGGATAATCTTCTCCTTCTAGGAATCTTGCAGCGAATTTTCGCTCCATCTCTTCTGCGGCCGCCATGATCTGTTGCAGCGTGTGATTGATGGGGGAGAACTATTTTCGCAGTTTCGCCCTCATCGCTCTGCTGCGAAGTCCGTCAATAAACAAATCTCTACCTACCTGTTTGCCTCGTTCGGTTTTTACATTCGGTAAAATCAATTTCGGTACTCAGTGACAGACTCGAGGGGTTTTTGGACTCGATCTTTAATCATAAAGAGGGCCTGCTCCGGATGGATATAATCGAATCAGTTCAGAAAGTCTCGCTCGAATGTCGGGAGATCAACCCATACATAGGTGTTGAACCAATGATGAGCGTCCCCCCCTAATCGAGCGGGAATGTTAACCTGTGCCTTGTTGTCATCGTACTGCTGAGCTCGGAGCGTGGCCAGCCATGCGCCAGCAAGGTGGTGAGCGGGATCGAATAGATAAAGATCGGGTCGGGCCATGGGTGCCCGCGCTCGTGGTACGGGTTGATTAGGATTTAGCTGTTGGTTGGGGTTCTGTTGTGGGTTTGGATTCTCTTGATTAGCGTTCATGTTAACCGCCCGTCGAGCCGCAGACCGGCTTCTCGTGACGACGGGATCCCGTCGATGCGCATTCTGGGGTCGAGGTCGCCCTCTGTTAGCCAGATCGCTTCGATCTAAGTTATCGCCCTATGAATCCTATAACCCTGCCACGTGTCGGCTCCGATACCACCCTCACGCCCGCCGTGACTTCCTGATCGGAGTGGGATGTGGGCTTGGAAGTGCGAAAAGGGGTGTGCCAAGGATTTTTGGGAAATTGGGGGTGGAGTCCCAGTTCAGAACTGAGATCTCTGGTGGCAAGGTTTCAGGGGCGTAGGTGCAATGAGGCTAAGGGACGGGTTACTTTCGGTCTGATGGCGGTAGATGTCATGTAGCATGAGGCAGATGGCATGCGCGGTGCATCTTGGGCCGTCCGGTCCACCTGTCCTAGTGACAACGGTCCAGGAGAGATCTGCTTGTGAGAGCTGCAATTTCTATGGGTCGAACCTCCGGGTGTGAATACGTGGCGATTGACGTCGCGCGTTATGGTTAGGCTCTGTAATTCCAGAGGCTCGTCGGTTGCCGCGTCGTCTGCCATTTCTGCACGGCGTGTGGGGCCAATACGGGGCTATGGAGTTCCACGGTACCACCGTAAGTTGGTGGTATGGGAGGAGAAGATGAAAGGGGGGGAAATTGGTAGCAATAACGACGAAGCCGGGGGATATGAAATACTACGTGTTATAGGCAGTTGGGTAGTCGGGGGCCCTCGGGTCGCTGGTTAAGGCGCGGCGGAAGTCCTTGGGACACAGTCGGTCGTTCTCGGTTAGACAGGGGAATTCCGGATGTCTCAGCCTTAGTTGTTCTCCCTCCCAGTATTCACTGTACTCTGGATCCCGCACTCCTTCCCGGTCCGCGAGGTACGACATCTTGGCATTCCGGCGGATCACTAGCTACGGCGTAGTGAGAACCTTCTGCACGCATTTGATCGTACTTTTATCGACAAGGGAATTTCCGGGTATGGGGGCGGAAATTCCTACCGGCTCAAACTCTCGCAAAAAGGAAATTTCGCGCTTATCCCGATACTGGGGGTGCCAAGTTCTTCAGTGATCGCGAATCGCCCGCGTGTGGACACGTGCAGGCCACGCCGATCAGATCGCGCTTACACGTGTGCACACAAGGTGTTCGGTCGTACACGGGCCTGTTGGCTGATTTTCGTGCAAAAGTGAGAGTTCAATCCTACATGCAAAATCGCCATGTGGCATAGATACCCACCCAATCATCTAATCATTCAATGATCCTGCAAACAATCATTTTCGATCATGCAAAATGGCATCACACGCACCAGACACTGCAACAACATCAAACTCTTATCGTGACGACAGTAGACCATGGTGACAAGCAACGATGATGATTAGGCAAAAACGACAAGCATATCATTCCATCAGAACTCGTTCATCCAATATACACAGAAGAGGAAGGATCGAGACCGAGTAGGATACCATACAAGGGCCAACGTCGAGACAAAGATGTCGAAGGAAAAACAAGGACGAATTGTCCGAGCCGAAATCAAAACTTATATACAAGATTGAAAAAGACCAAGAAAATTACAACTCCACGTCCATCCATCTCAACTCTCTCTCTCTCACTCTCTCTCTCTCTCTCTGATGCGCACAGTCCGTCGTCACGCACCAACCCACGAAGTTGTCACCCCGCTTAGTCCTCCTGTGCCCGTCGAGTTCGCCCGCGTGCTACAGTCCGTCGTAGCCCCACGCGTCAACCCCGCATATTCGGCACCAGCTCGTCGGGTCGCCCAACTCCCACCTCACTCACCTCTTACTTCGCTCATGAGCCAACCCTCACTGATCGCGCTACCCCGAGCTTCCAGCAATTGTTTAAGAGAGCTGTCTAATCGCGCAGCCGAAATTTATACTGTGCATGCATGCGCGACAAACACGGAATTGCAAGGACTTAGAAGGGAGAGAAGGGAAGGGAATGCCTACGTTCCGCATGGCCAGATCGCGGCGTGGGGGACGTAGCCACTCTCCACGCATCAATCCGATCATGCAGCCCGCGGGCCAACTAGACACAGCAAAGGAGAGAGAGGGCGGGAAAGACGAAGCTCAAGAAGAAAGATGCAGTTACAAGGGCGCCCCGCCCAAAATTACAGTTACACGCAAGATTAAGGGCGCCGACTACGCAGAGCTCCGTTGCAGCGGCAAAAAGAAACGCGCGAGCAAAGAGCACCGCGCGGCAAAAGAAATTCCGAATTCCTAAATTCCTAGATTCCTATCTGATGCAAAAATGCAAAAAGAACTTTAATAAAGCACAAATTCCGAAAAGAAAGTCCGAAATTCCAAGAGCCGTCGAGGGCTCGACAGGATTCGAAAAAAAAGAAATTCAAAAGGAAAGAAGCAAAAACTCCCGCGCGATTACCACGCCGAAAACCCGACAGCAGAACAAGAAAGAAGCGACGTTGGCACGCCAGCCACTCAATCGACCATCCCGGGATTTGCCCATCCCTGGCCCCAGCCATCCGAAAAGAGACGACGTAAAAAGAAGAACAAGCAAGGACACCGATGCAATTTTCCCGTTGGAAGAAGAAGAAGAAGAAGGAGAGGGAGAGGGAGAGGGAGAAGAAGAAGAAGAAGGAGAGGGAGAGAGAGAGGGAGAAGAAGAAGAAGAATAAGAATAAGAAGAAGAAGAAGAAGAAGAAGAAGAAGAAGAAAGAGGGAGAGGGAGAAGAAGAAGAAGAAGAAGAAGAAGAAGAAGAAGAAGAAGAAGAAGAAGATGATGAAGTAGTCAAATTGAAAAAAAAAATAAAAAAATGGTGAGCCACTCTGCTACATAATCCTGAACCCCGCTTCCAACACTCTTACACAAAGTACACTGCACAAGGAATGACTTCCATGACTCTACATATGAAGGTACCAGCGTGGTCAATATTGCCATTTCTTTTCCTTTTCTTCTTTTTTTTTTCTCTTAAGAACGCCAAGGTTGCTGTAGGGGTTGGACTCGGACATGTAACGTCCCTTGGAAGTCGTCCCTACTGCTCACCGTGTATGAGGCACTTTTTTCCTACCTCTGCGGGATACCATGTTCTTCCTTGCATTGACGTACTGCAAGCTGTGCTTGACCGGCTACACCCACTGCAGGCAATCCTACCGGGCACCTATTCAGGACACCTTGAAGGCTGAGGATGGCCGGTGACCAGGGCGTGCCTAGAATCTATCAACAGGTAGGCCCCTGTTCCATCAAGAAGACTCGAGGCTGCATACTGCACTTTCTACTCCAATGCCAGCCTACCAGAGTCGCTTGGCTCAGCCTGCCCGCCTGGTTGCCTGCCCAGGGTACTCGGGTCACAGCAAAACGGGGTCATTGTTTTTGTGTCCACTGAGATGTGCCCAAATCGAGAATTATCTTTGAGTTTGGTGGTCTCACTAAAGGTGGTGTATGGGGCATAAACGGGGCTCAAAGGGCCAATTGGGGGCAAGACGGAGGCAGCCTGGGTGGCCCGGCTGCTAGCCCAGCTATGATGCAATTTTTACCCCCTCCCTCCCTTCCTATTACAGCATCTCTAACGTACTCCTAGTCTAGCCTATCTGACTATTCAGTTACCCATTTGTTTTTTTCCTTGGCACTCCCCTTGAAGCTGCCATTGCCATCTGGTATCTCTATGTCCCTTTGAAGCTCAGTCATCTGGTGTTGTATGTGCCTGTCCTGCTTCCCTTTTCAACCCCTTGTGCCACACACACTTTACATCATGGCAACTGGCCAGACGTCTGGACCCGGGTCCAGATGGTCCGGTTGTCTGGGCCCGGGTCCGCCGTTCAGTTTGGCCCTTTTTGAGGGAAAATCAATTTTTTTTTTGGGGGCGCCTAGACCGTTGGTCGGGTCCTAGGCGGCCCCCAAATAATGCCCCCGCTGTTTTTAGGCTGTTTTGTGGCCTACCGGACACGCCAGACAGAGACAGTATGCTGCACATGTACGGGAGCTAGGGAAGGCGCGTTGGACAATGAGGGTAGAGCGGGAGGGCGCGGATTCGAAAACAGGGAAGGCACGTTGGACAATGAGGGTAGAGCGGGAAGGCACAGATTCGAGTTTTCGAATCCGCTTTTGCTTGAGGGAAAGGTCGGTGCCCCCGCCAGAACCTGGTTTGGAGCTGCTGCCCTCGTCAAAGTCGTTGCCCACCCAACACCTCGTCGTCTGCCGTCGTCGCAGCTGCCAGACGTGCAAAGCTCCTAGCCAGCCGCTGAGGATCACGTCGCCCGCCCCAGCAGATCTCTCTCTCTCTCTCTCTCTCTCTCTCTCTCTCTCTCAAAGATAAGGAAGCGGACTCTCTCTCAAAGATGATGGCGGCCATATCCAGAGGGGCGAGGAGTGGAATGCAAGGAGAACGAAGAGGTGGATGAAGAGAGGGAGGAGGAGGAAGGGGACGGAGATCGGTAAGGACTCAGGAGGCAAAGGAGGAGAGGGAGGAGGACGAACAGGAGAGATGATTTTTCGTTTTTTTTCCCCTTCTTTTTGTTTTGTCAGGACTATCATCTTCACCCGAATACAATGCCTTCCCATTATGGCTGTATTTGGGGCAACTTACTGTCCACATACAACGATAATGAGCGGGCGTTGTGTTAGGGTGAGGACAATGGTGGTGCTTTTTTTTTTCTCTTGATCTTTTGGCTCGGGACACGTCGTTTTCCCTGTATGGAGTGGAAGGCGGGAAGGGTTGGAGGACTACTATCAGGGTGTTGGGTCTGTTGACGGGGAATCAGGAAGAGGACGAGGGCCAACAAGGTGTCGAAGGAGGCGGAAGAGGAGGATGATGGACACCATTGATTGGTTGGTCAATTGACGGCGTTCATTCTATCGATCAATCAATCAATCAATCAATCAATCAATCAATCAATCAAGAAACACTTGATTGATTGATTGATTGATCGATAGATTGGACGTCGCCAATCAAACGATCAATCAATGGCATTCCTCTCCTCCTCCCCCTCCTCCTCCTCTTCCTCCGCCTCCTCCAACACCTTTATGGCCCTCGTCCTCTTCCCCGCTTCCTCGTCAGCAGACCCAACACCCTGATAGTAGTCCTCAAACCCTCCCC